CCGAAGTGCAGGGTCAGCAGCAGACTGGAAGCCGTGATCCGGATCGAGAAACAAACCCTTCTGTAGTTGTTAAGGCGAAATGTTCAGCTAATCAAAATAAGCATTCTCTAAGGAATTTTTACCGCGCAATAAATTAATGTATGTAATTTTGCCTGAAAAAAACAGAACATTGGGAAAAGGCGTCATTGAGAAGTTCATGTATCATCCGGTTTTGGGAGAGACAACGGGCGTGCCGAGCAAGGAACGATCATCAATTGCCCCATGTTTCTCTTGTCCATGCCTTGTCCTTTAGGCAGAGGAAGAAATCACTCACTCATTTCTTCCTCCGTTTCTTAGGTGTTCAAAATTTTTGTGGTTTCTTTTGGTGTTATAAGGACAAAAAAAGCCAGCACCGAGAGCCATAAAATTTAAATTTATGAATAAGCATAGGCTTGATGATGCATTCCGAAGCTAAAATTCACGCTCTATGAGAAGCGGAGGCGTTCAGAAATTGTTCAGGCAGTAGGAACTGACCTTTGCCTACAGAAATTGTCCGTGATGACGAATTGAAACTGTAGTTTGAGCAGATGCCTCCAATTTAATGGACCGGAACATTTTCATAACCTTGTAACCCCTTCAGCGTTTTTGGCTTCCTCTTCTTCTTGACTATTTCGGGCTTGCCATAATATCTTGCATGTAATTAATCAACGGCCCACTTTCTTCTGAAAACTTATTTTCGACTTTTTTTCCTTTATTCTCGATTTTTCAACTTATTTTCGACCGCGACATGATCTGGAAATAGCAACGTTTGGAATAGGGTGGGTAGCCCTCAACAGACGCACCAATGATATCTCGCAACGGCTAAAGACTTGTCTCAGAAAAAAACCACGAGTTGATGTTTTCAGGAGACGGAACAAACGTCAGGAGCGATGTAACATTGGTTAAAGCAACTGGAAAAGTTTTCAACTGCATAGTTGCAGAATCAGGTTATGAACTGTTTGCTGGTCAAAGTGCTGAAGTATTTTATTTTTTACTTTCTTAATTTCATAACAAAACATCGCAAATTTCACAACATATCGAAACAACACACATAATGTACACATGCATGGCAATTTTATGCAAATTATTCTCTGTACTAGTAACGAATTCAACGTGACAACAGTACACGCACTACGAGCCCAATGTAACCAATGAGGAAAACGCATATAACGTAGAAGAGCATTGCGCCCATATTGAAATACTGATTTCGATCTTCGAAATATAGATTACCTATCACCGCTTCACCGCTACTTTCACACGAACTTGCTGGCTAAAATATGCGTAATTTCTGTTTCTGCATGTATATGTATGTATATGTAATGGATTTTAATATTTCCAGTAAATTTTGGGACATAAAAACGGACAATAGATTTTAGTACCACGTATACCTGGGGGCTGAATTTGAAATGTTTAATTTTTAAGTTTACGCTCTGAATAGCGTTTATAGCTGTGTTTAAACCTAACGAAGTAACTTAGCACTTCATGTTATATAAATAGTTATTTTGCGATTCTCATTTTTCCATAGCAAACGTAGCTGGGGCCGCCAGAAGATCCGCTATCTTCACTGTTTACTGGCCTGCCATACAGTATGCCTTAGCTCTCTGGTATCGAAAATTCTTGCGAAATGTGGAAGGAAATGAGAAACACTTAGACTCTGTGTGATGCTGCGAGCAAAATGTTTTTTTTTTTTTTTTGTAAATATCCCTTAACCAGGAAAATTCCCTATCCAAAAAAA